GTTGAACTTAGACTCATAGTAAGGAAAGAAGACTTGGGGAACATAACACTTACAAGCCGTATTAAAGGCAAAATGAGCATATGTAAATGGTTAGTAGAACAGGAGTAGGATGGATATTATGGGAACACATATGGCTTAGAATTACAGTGTAACCCGGATATAAGAGAAACATGGATATAAGAGAGATTTTCTCTGGTCCCAAATTAGAGCCCATACTTACCTAAACAAAATAGACCAAACCCGGATATAAGAGAAACCCGGATATAAGAGACTTCTTCTCCGGTCCCGACAACTCTCTTATATCCGGGTTACACTGTACAAAGGATTGGAAACTGTATCGTCCACGTACTGAAGATAGATCTGACATGAAATTAGAAGTAACCTAATTTTACACACACATATTTTTAACATAATAATACCACCACAAAAAATGCGATATTTATGGATTAAAATGAATGTTTTAAAATGAAAAATCTTTCTTGAAGCTTTTATTTTAGTTTTAATTTCAAGCTAATAAATTAAATTTAATATTTCCAGTAAGTAAAATATTTTGCTGCATTTCAAAAACTAATTTGAATTGACTGGAAGGAAATTTCTTTGCTAAAATATATGATTATCGCCCTTTTTAGTCTTCTTTCATCGCTATATAATTCTCTTTATTAAAAAAAAATCTTATAAAAATAAAATATACTTTTATGAAATTTTATTTGAAGAGTATTAGCTGATTGAAAGTATAATTAATCTGATTTGAAACAAATATTATTTACTTTAAGTTTAAAATATCGTAGAAACGCATGTTTTTAGATCGACAGTAGCTGTGTTTTTAACCCGACAGTAGCTGTTTTGAGGTGTTGACAACCCGATGGCAAGTTTAATGTTCTTCTGTAGACTTTATATGTAAAACATAATGACGTGAGCGCCTTTTTTAATATAATTTTTAAGGACTCAGTAACATTCAAAATTTTGGAAAACAGTCTCCGTAATCTAATTTTAGAAATGTTCTTTAAATTTACTATAGTTATTCCTCTTATTTCCCGAAAATGTCGGGTATGGTCGCCCGTACTTACAAAAATGGGTACGTTTATACACATAGAAAAAAATGTTTTAAAAATAGTTTTTTTTTTAAAGCTTTTACATTTATCATTAATAAATATAATTTTCACTTAATATTTTTCATTATTCATCGAACAACTTTTGTTCTTAGTTTCTGAATATCTTTAAAAGCAATTAAAAGCTTTTCTAATTTAATGACATAGTTTTATTGAATGTGTTATTTTACTATTCAGAGATTTTCGGTAACTGGAATTTCTGTTTGACAAAAACAAATTGATGATTTAAATTCTCCAAGAAGTCCTGCTTTCTTAATATAAATATGAAGAGGCTGAAATTTTAAATTCTCGAAATTTCATAAAATAAGTAAGTGAGGGTAACAGACTTAAAAAACAACTTTTTACCAAGATTTTCCAAAACAAGGAATTAAAAAATAATTTCATTCATTTATGAAAATTTAATTAAAATCCGACAATTATTTGATTTTACAAGGATTTCCTAAACAATGTTTTTTTACTGCAAAAAAAAAAAAAATCTCATACTAATATTTGGCATAGCCGCTGACTAAGAAAAACAATATTTTTAACCATAATTTCGAACGTTCTGGAAAGGATTAAAAAAAAAAAAAAAAAAAAGACTAATCAAAAAATACTTTGGTCTTTCTGTAACACCTTTCGCCGTTGCCTACGCCCGGTGGTGTAACCACATTTAATAGTCAGGTCCTACGGGCTAGCTCTACGTTGGTCAATGCTGACGCTATTCTAAACTGATTGTTGATCGTTGGCCGCTTCTGTTCACACCGTCTCTGCTCACGTTGTGTTCTTGATCTCACAGCAGTAGAAAATCGAAGATTGTAGTCTCGCAGTCCCGGTTAAGCCGTGGCGAGTGCTATATTAAAGGAAAAATGTCGTCACGACGAAAAAAACAAAAAGAGAGATTCGTGGGGCTAATCTTCATTTGGTTTATATAGCTCTTGGTACAACAAAAATTAGCCCTTCTCGCATCAATCTCTCTAGTGACACTGGACCTTGTCTAAATTTCTGGAAAGCTGGGTTCAAAGTCATGGAATCAGGAAATCTAGTTGGCAACTGGCGTGGATTTCAGAGGCAATGGCTCTGAAATTCAATGCCGTATCTCAGGCCAAAGTCTTAGGAGTTTCCTAAAGTCATCTGCTTATATGCACTTTGGCACAAAACTGGACAGAAGGGCTCTTGGGATTTTTTGATTCTTTAATTTTCTCATGAATTCTAATAAGGGCTTTCTTTGTTCTCTATCTCCATTTTCTTAATCAACTTTCCAAATTTGGAAAATTATCCACCTTCCTTGGGAATAGTCACAGTGGTTGCTTTTTCCTTAACTCCAGTCTTCTTCACTTCACATCTCTCACCGCTACTCTACTACAGATGCGTTCGTGATCTGACAAATCCTCTTTTGACTACTATCAAATCCAGCCTTCTCGCTTTACATATCAGAAAGACAGAGTACTTCATTCTTTTTATTTTCTAAAAAATAATTCGACTTGTGCTGATAGCGTTTCGTTAAATGGCCAAACTCATGTGCACAATTCTTAGTGCATAACTATTTCTATTTTGCAGAAAATATTTTTACATTTATTTTTAGCCAGCTGGATACATTCAATTATGATTAACACTCTCATTTTTTCCACATAAGTGACACCAGATATTTCTTTTTATTCGTCTTTTTTGTGTGTGTGTGTGGGGGGGTGCAATATTTGCATTTTCTTTTCTTGTGAGGTTTTTCCTCTGTGAAGGTGTACTCGTAGTATAGCGATTATTGGTGCGGAAAATTCTAATTCTGTCCGTGTTCATTGAGCTCATTTTCGCGCAAATACCCTTGATAAAGGCATGAATCCATTTATTCTTCCCCTCAGCTATGGATTAAATAACAGTATAGACGTCTCTCTGGTTATGGTTGGCAAATTATCTAGAAAGACAACTCTGGATTCAAAACCGATTGACCGTAAGACTAGCAACTCTACCCCGCAAAAAATCCTACTTGCTACGAAAACAAGATCAGCAACACCAAGCGTGGTGAGATTGTGGACCTGTGCACCACAGGAAAGTCTAATGTAACGAAGGAGGAGGAAAGGATAAGGGGAAGGATCATTTATGCAAACAATTTTTCGTGTGATATTCTCTATCGAACTTTGAAATTCTACGTGAAGAGTTTTCTTTTCCTATTTTTCTTGTTGGCTTCCTCACTATTTCTACGTTTGTTGCACTTTTATCTCGCGTTTCCGGCCGTTGTCGGGATATTTTCGCTCTTGCGTTCTGTGCATTTCACAAACCCCATTTTGGCTATTTTGTTAGTATTCGCGATAGTGAAAAATTCTCTTTTTTTGTTTTTTAAACATCTAATTTGTTGCTATAATTTCTTGTGATGAATTTCAGATATTGTCATTAACTTCCTGGTCTGTCACTTCATCTACAGTGTAACCCGGATATAAGAGAGTTGCCGGGACCGGAGAAGAAGTCTCTTATATCCGGGTTTTTCTTATATCCGGGTTTGGTCTATTTTATATACATTAACACAGGCTTTAATTTGGGACCAGAGATAATCTCTCTTATATCCGGGTCTATTTTATATACATTAACACAGGCTCTAATTTGGGACCAGAGAAAATCTCTCTTATATCCGGGTTTCTCTTATATCCGGGTCTATTTTATATACATTAACACAGGCTCTAATTTGGGACCAGAGATAATCTCTCTTATATCCGGGTTTCTCTTATATCCGGGTTACACTGTATTTAAGTTTCTCTCTTGTCTAGCCTCGGTCTAGGTTCACATGTACATCACTAATGACAATGTCTACGCATTCATCTCATTTATTAAATGGCTATTGTTTAGTTTGAGTTTTGATAATTTCTTCGTTCTCCTTACGTAAACTTTTCTTATTTGATCTTTAATTTTATTGCAAAGCATTTGTAGCGGTCGTTTGTGTATAATAACTTGATTTTATTTCGGGCTTTTTGATTTCTCTATAGTGAACTTTCTTCTTGTATCTTCGCTTCAATTATTCTTTTAATCAATGTTCCAGTTCTTCGTAAACAAATTTAAGCCATCCATGTACATTAGGTGACTCACTTTGTACGTTGTGAAATTGTATGCTCATTTATAGATTTTGAAGATTGGATTTTGTGAGCTCATAACTTTGATAAATAACCACGGAAAAATACCACATTCGATATTCATCTCTGATATGGATTCTTATTCAGCGATTTAATTCAATCTTCACTTTTCCCTGTCATTAACTATACATTTTCCCCACTATTTTGTTAATCTTCAGGAATCCAGGTTTGCATTAGACTTTTCTATATTCAACCTAAATCATTGCAATATTTCTTTTCGTTCTATTTTTATTTTTTTTAAACCATTTGTGCTTGATATACATGAAGTCATTTGGTCCCTGCAACTATTATAATTATTAATAATAATTTGTTGTTATTTTACTTGTCGCATAATCACAATATTTATGGCTACATCTTGTTGAAACACTGGTTCCTGTACGCAACCGAAGTTAAGCAACGTCGAGCTTGGTCTTTACCTAGATGGTGACCGCTTGGGAATACCATGTAATACGAAAGACTGGATGTGCGGGTGGTGTAATGGACAATGACTCAGAATTGTTAATCGAAGGGCCGAGTTTCAATTTCTGTTGGGTTCGTCATATTCACTTATATGCAAATGCCTTGGGAAGATATGAATTCACTTTTCTCCCCCTAGCTATTGGTTAATTAGTAAGACTTGTGCCATTAAATCATTACCCTCCTTCCCCCCAAAATTCTTTCAGTCTAAAAATATTTTCTGAAATCTACATTTTCCCTAGATACCTAGCCTTTCCTCGGTATTTTTATTGACGTTAACACAGATTTGGTGTGAATATTCTGTATTTTGCGTTATTTTATTAATACAAGTTTTTTTTTATAGTGTTCTGAAAGAAAATTGAAATTTTGGACTCTTCTGTATTCTTGGTTCCATCAAATCCAAAGTCCCAGACCACAATCAGAAGCAAGTCTCATTTTAAAAAGGTAATTCATATAATATTTTCAAAATGTCAATGCTTCAACCTAAAAGCACATATTTTGACAATGATATTGTTAGCAAATTGGAATTCACGGAACAAAAGGAAGAAAAAAAACATTTAGAGCATCGGCTGAGGATTGAAATTTCAATGGCATGACTGGTCTGCTAAAAAAAAAACTAAAAAAACATACGAGTGGTATCGGAAATGTCTCAGGCTGTACGTGATGGGATTATATAGTTCAATGGAAATGCGCAAGCAGCTAATGCTCATTGATACCCAGAAAACAGGTCGAGTGTCAGTACAAGATTATGAGCATTCAAAGTAAGCAAATTTACAGAAAAATCAAAAAAGAATTACTGAACTCATCGTCAAGGACCATTGGCGAAGAATTTTCTTTCTTTCTCTCTCATTTAGTCAGACAGGAGATCTTAATCTGAAAAATTTCCTGTATCAAAGGCACTGAATCCAGTTTAATGAAGCCAAATTCTCTATACGACTACATGGTCAGGAGAGGAGTTCGAGGTCAACCTTGATACCTAATAAAACCATCAGTGGAATTCAATGTGAGAAGCCAAAAATGGTTTTCTTATTGGATACAATACAAGTGCGGTTATCTCCCTTTCACGGTATCGCTGGCTATTGTTACGAAAAAGGAAAATTGCAAACTTCGTGAAAAGAGGAATCAAAAAACAAAAAAGGCGTAATTTGGATATCGCTTTGTGCGAGCGATGTCATTGGCCTTCCATCAGGTTTTTTTTTTTTTTTTTTATTAAGTTTCATGAAAGTAAATGCTCTCCCCACCATTCTATATTTTTCAACAAACTATATAGACCAAATATTATTTTTTCCTCAATAACAACAGGAACAATTACAAACCGAACTGAAAGGACCAAATACCGAATTCATTTGCAGGAAATAAAGATTTGACAGGAAGAGAGTTTGCATGTCAAAATTCCGTATTTTGAACATAATGGAGAAAATGGTTAATAGTTGTTAAGTTTTTATTTCTAAACTTTACGTTTTAAAGAAAACTCAGATTTAAATACAACATCTGAAATACACAAATCCCCCCATTTAAACGATATATATATTCTCGTGGGGTCAGGGTTAGGCTATGCGGTAGAAGCCTTTTCCCCTCAAGAATATTCAGTTCATTTCTGTGAAAAATAAAAGTATTAAAATTGACAAAAAATGTAAATTGTTTTTTTTTTTTAAATATAACTATCAACAAGACGTTCTTGCTCCTTGTATTCGGCTTACTACCAATGTTGTCGAAGACCGAGTCATTTAAATATATGCAAGCGAAATACATTTGGAGTTGGTGAAGAGAAAAAGTGAACGAATAATGAAGGAAACCGAAAGATTAATTTGGTTTTGGGATGAATTTGTACAAATACAATTCACGTTTCTCTTTAATTACTAAGTCATTAGATTTTATAGCACTCATTGAGAAATATAAACACTGCTGGGTTGAGCGAGATTCTTCCTGTGAGAGTGCTTTTGTCACCAAATGTAGTGACTACAAATGCGTAGGGGTGTTTGTGTGTGTGTATTTATACGTGATAAATACACACACACATATATATATATATTCACACATTATATATATATATATATATATATATATACATACACATATGTGTGTGTGTATGATGGAGATAGAAAATGAAGTCACTTAATAACTGAAAGATGGAAATGGTTGCCGATCACTGAAAACATACTGAACTAATTTTCAGAGGAAATGGTTGAACATCCAATTTTCCCCACTGTCTCAACACTAGCTGAGAGACAATGTTTTTGCAGTTTGTTTTTTTATTATCATCCATGAGTAATCATTAAGTAAATAATGGTGTCGTTTTTGCACTAGTGTTTGAAGAAGGCATGACTCCAATTCTTACTTGCAACTTGTAGAATGTGGAGATATTTTTGCCATAGAATGGTTCAGTTAAAGAATCTTACTTGCTTCACACTCAGTTAATGGGTCTGTTAAGGACAGCATTAAAACAATACGACTAAATAAATCTTTCTTGAACACCAGGATGAATGAGGAATAATAGATGGAAGTACACGTGGACCTCCTCCTCCTCATCTACGCCGTGTTCAAGTAGAACAGCGCTTAGATAGACACCGCAAGGAAAAAAAAAAACAGGATTTCGCTGTTCTGTTAATAGCCGAGAATTCAGCTTTATTCGGAACATGTTGGTCATTTTGATGTGGAGGGAAAATGCAATAGTATCGAATAAATGAAGAATTTAAACGAACATAACAGGACAGATTGGTAAGCAAACGCTTTACTGCAGAATGAAACGGCAACCTACTGCAGGAAAAAATCTGCCTATAGTCATAAATCGAAAGTGTATATAACGTTTGACACTTCTGACTGGCGGCATGGGCATCATGTTGGTTAAAAGATATTCTTATAAAATATTCAAAGTCTTCGGACATTCTAACGTAGTAACACTAATAGTAATACAGTCAATGCATCAGATTTACACAGTGACGCAAGTTGTGATAAAATTCAGTGTGGTGAAAAAGTCTAAATGCAAACATACTCCATTACGGTGATGCACTCATCTTTCTTTGGTATAATAAGAGAAGTTTAATATGGTCTAAATTGTGCGAATTCGACAGATTGAATTATTATTTTGAATAATTGCAGCGCATATTTGACGTAATGCGTCGGTAGTGCTTCGATGGTGACAGCGGTGGTTACACAAAAATACTTAGATCAGATTAGAGTCGACCACGTAGAGATCGATTCATTATATGGATATTAGAGGTTGAACGTACGATGTCCACAGCATAAATCAAAGCGTAAGTCCTACGAGTGTTAATTGTTTTAACACTCGTAGGACTACGCTTTGATCTATTTACTTGCAATAGACGTACGGGGGCCTATATGTGGCTATAGCAAGACTAACTTACGCCACAAAAGTGTCATTCATATCTCTATGTAGAGAGGATCACCTGGATTATTAAACGGAGCTCTGTGGTGTTCAGCGATGAGACCAGGTTCTACTTTTCTACAAGTGATGGCACTTTGCATGTAGATAAGCAACATTTCCAACTCAGGCCCAAGTGTAGGATACCATAAATTTTCGCTTGATTTTGTTCTTAAGATGCGATATTGATAGCCCCTGACTTTGGAACATGTGCACTTAATGACGTGCATATATGATAATCTTTTGCAATCCAGTTATAAATGATAAATTTCATCTTTAGTAAATTTTTGTTTTTTTTAAACGGTGAAAGAAAAGGAAAAAGAAAATAAAGTTATTCTTTATTCTCCGCCACTCCATCGCTTTGGATGAAATGTCAGTAAAAAGGACGATTGAGCAATTTAATCATTTAGCAATTCTCTGGGTAATTAAAGCCAGTTTCATGTTTTTTTTTTTAACAAAAACAAAATTCCTAAGTTAAAATTATGTTAAATAAAAAATTAAATATTACTTTGATTACGTTTTACTTTATTTGTTAAACTTTACGACTGAATTATGTTCAATAAAAACTATTCACACTATCTTTAATAAAAGACTTAAAAATGTACTTTTAATAAAAACGATAATATTAGATTATTATGAGAAAAAAAATAAAATGTTGGCAGTGTGTAAAAATAAACAGAAAATATTTAGTAAAAAAAAAAAGGTTTACAATATACGGTTGTAGCGGACCCCCTCCTATCACGAAAGGGTGATGAGGTCACAAGAGGCCCGCTAACATTTTCAAAGACGCTAAATCTGACAAGGTGAAACAACAGACGACAGAACGAGGATATAAGATAATTTATTCTAGAAAAGTAATAAAGAAATAGAGGTGGTCGGAACGGTAGAGATGCAGATGTTCCGTTGCAGGCATTGATGGTCGAGGTTGGTTGTTACAGGTGATCGTTACTGGTCGCTGCAGTTGAAGTTTGAGGTTGATCGTTGCCGGAATGCCAACTTGACGCGTTGGAAAGGAAAGAGGAGGTGGCGTTGTTCGGGCATGTCAAAGGTCCAGTGCAGGCGTTGCGTGTCTGCCGGTCGAGTCCGATATTAGTAACCTCCCGTAATAATTACAAACGTAGTATACGGGAAAGGTTATGGACGACGTGCAGGCAGGCAGGCAGACAGACAGAGAGAGAGAGAGAGAGAGAGAGAGATTCCAACTATCGTCAAGTTGGCAGACAAAAAAAAATGGGAGCGTAACTTAATACGCAGACCGGGTCGACGTCCTGGCCAGGGAGGCCAGGACCCTGCGTATCCGACCGTTTCAGTCGCCGACCCTAAATTTAGCGAGAAGTCTAGCAAGAGAATTGGTAAGCTAACACAGTAAAGTCTATCTAAAAAATTGAGTAGAGCTTAGCTAAAAAAAACCAAAGCCTAAAAATGCCTAGAAGTTTATTACGAAGGTTCGTAATATAACTAAACTGAAAAGGTAACACTAGTCTACCTCGGGTTAACAGCGTGTAGGGAGCACAACCGAAAGGTCAAGGTCGAAATGACCTGTTCTCTTCCGGTTTAAGGAGCCTAGGAGGCGGTAACTCCGAGACAGTTTCTTTGTAAAAGAAACCATATAAATGAAGCCAATTATATATCATAAATGAAAATTGATATGGGAAAATTTTTAAAATATCTAATAAAAAAAAGACCGCCAAAATGAGAACAGACGATTTAAACTTTCCGTGCCAGAAAAAAAAAATCCCCACCAAATTTGAATCGAAAACAGATGCATTTTGAATCTAAGGAATTTGTTTACAAGTCGATTAGGGTTATCTGTAAAGTCAGAAAAAGGTAGATAATATTCGGGTGATAGGAATTCAGCAGCCAAGAAAGGATAGAATCATTCGGACGAAGGACTGTCGTTAGATAGAAAGATCTGAAACTTGTGTGCGTGTAAAGAGAAAATAAATATAACATGCGTGAGAGTAATTCAAATCTGGGATACCTGTTTAAAAAAAAAAAAAAAAAAAAAATTTGAATATTCACCAAAATGGTTTCAGAAAAGCATCTTCGATGAGATAGATGAAACTTTCCTCATGCCAGCCTTTGAACCCCAACTTTCAACCAGCGACATTTTAAATTGTGAACCTTTTGAAGTAAGTAAATTTTATTGTTAAGAAATCGATTTATATAAATATTCTTTCTCTAAAAGAAAGTGTTATTAAAATCTTTAAGAGAAACATTTGCTTTATTCGAAATGTGGTTTTCTAAGAGAAAACCGATTTGTATTTGAAAGAACTGTTAAACAGTCTTAATAATTTGAGACGCACAAGGGAAGATATTGTAATTTATAATACTGTGAAAAATGTGTTTCTCTGCAAATTTTCACTACGTCTTGTGTGTGTGTGTGTGTGTGTGTGTGTGTGTGTGTGTGTGTGTGTCTTTTTCTCTCTCTCTCTCTCTCTCTCGTTCGCTCCATTCAAAATACTTGGGATAAAATATTTGACGGTCTCTTCTCCCCAAAAATCCTTTTTACTTTGTCGGAGTTAAATCCTCCTTTAGTTCGTTAACCCTTTCACTAGGGGTCTCTCTTCCCTGGCTATAAATAGTCGCTGACCCTTCGCCTCTCTCTTTTTTCCCCCTCAGGCCTTTGCACCGACACCTGGAGGTAAATCTCTTTTTCCTCAGGGTTTCAGCCTTATTACCTCGAAGATGTGAACGTTCACAGATAGCGTTTCCCAAATGCTGGGTGCGCGCTAAGTACAATGCACGTTCGTACGAACACACACACACACACTTTGTCCTTTGTAACTGTTTCCATGTAACTTGTTAATATATATATTTGTATACATATATTATCGGTCTTGTGTTTGTTTTTCTTTGCCTTCTTCTTTGGACTTAATTAAAGTCCAACTTTCTCATGTAGTTGGGCCGGCTAGCAGGAAAATTTTAACCCACATGTGTTTCTTCTACTTAACAACATCACAGCCACGGTCCACTACAACTTTCAACAATTTTATCAAATCTTTAAAAATTGACTATTTCCCAGATTGCATAACCAATGGTAACACATATGGTAAAATAATAGCTTTTAGTTTGGTAGCTGGAATTTTGCTCTATTCACAGCGGTGCTATTGCGCATGCCGTATCTGCTGTAATTTTCGTAGAATTGAAGACATTACTTTCGGAGCGTCCCTAGTGTGTTCGTGTGTGGACATTACTCAACTTGAAGATATAAAATATAACACCATGCTGAATGCAGGCGGAAATAACTTTTTTTTTTTTTACTGAACTTTAAAAATACGCACAAGTTTTCGTAATCGTATTGTGGCGGGGACCTCATATTTTTCAACCTTCATTCTATTTCTCTATCCCAACAATGATCAATAAATGGCTAACAACGTATTTTCATTTAATAATTCTCATTCTTGTTCCCTATTGCATTCCGTTATTCGTTTAAGCCACTGAAGACCCCCCGGCTCTGATGCTGAAAGAGAAGCAATCGGGATTTTTAATTAATTATGATCCTAATTGACTTGGCAGATAATCAATTTATCCGATTTGTCATCGATCGCCTCCTGGCTGATTCAAATTCTCGTGGTATTTCGTTCTGTTGATGAGTATTTGCTACATTTATTCGTAGAGTTTTATTTGAAGAGAATTATTTATTGAATTGCGAACCTACATACGCTCAGTTATTTTAGAAATGCGGTGTACACCGAACTATTTCTTTTTAAAAACCTGGACTGATATACGAATCCCTATGAAAATGTAGAACAACAGGAAATCATTGCGGACTTAGATTTGCAGAACCTGTTCAAAATACCGTAAAAATCACAATTCATAAAACATATTAGCTGAGATTTTAAAAATATATATTTGGAGAATTTAAAAATGATTTTGTGTCCGTAGGTTGATAAGAAATTATGAACAAATAAAATTTTAGGATAAGATAGAGAGATAGAGACCTCATAAGCAATTTTAATATTTGTTCATTTTGCACATTCAGGAAATAAAAGCTACATTAATGAGCGCGACTATATGCATACAAGTATAACAATTGTTATATTTAACTATATTGTCGACATGGAAGAAAAAAAAAAAAATATAATAATAATAATAATCCCTTACTATAAAAGGTAATTTACATTAACCAGAAAAAAGCCAAGCGTCTATCTTTTTAAATTTGGATTTTTAATGTAACTATAACAAAAACATTTTGATTTCATTTTTGCCTTGAAAAAGTCGGAAGACGAAACGCGTCGGCAAAATCTAAGATTTTTTTTTCAATTGTCATTTGATACCAATCTGTCTTGTCCAAAGAATTCATCTGGGAATTTAATTATACAAGTATGCATAAATATGTAAATACACATGCGGTTAGAAAAGTAAGTGAAATGTATAAACATATAAAAGATGTAATAAAAGTATGTATGTGTTCAAAATTTACAATCATTCTAACAAAAATTTAGATTAAATCTTGTTTTATAATTAAATTTAAAATGTTTCCTCTAATATTCTGTCTTCCATTAAAACGTTTTTATTCCAAATAAAGTAATGTTAAGAAATCGATTAAAGAGCAACACAAAAAAAGCAATTTCTCTTCGAAATTTTATTTTCAAGAACGTTTATTACTAAGAACTAAGAAATCATCTGTCATCTGTGGTTTTGGTAATCGTCTTTTATCTGCAACAACAAAAGAGCAACATCTTAATTTTTTTTTTCTTGTTCTCGATGCATATTTATTAAAATTACCTGATATTGAAATTAGTCATGAAATGAGGCAAATACAGAATTTTTTATTCTTAGGATGCAAAGGAAATGAAGGAAATTATTTTGTTTAAAAGGGAGTTGGAATCAACGTCAATTGTTTGGAGGAATTAAAAACCGAATAAATTCAATTTGTAAATTAAAGTCTACAAAATTAAAGGTGATCTCGATTTTTCTCAAATTTCACTAAATATTGTAATCAAAAGATTATGGGGTTACGGTCATATTACGTTGTAACATTGGTTGCCTTATAATCACCAACGTTAAGCAGCGTCAAGGCTGGTCTGTACTTAGCAGAGTAACCCCTTTAAATACCAGGTGAGGGTGGTGTAATAGATAACTGGTCGAAAATGGAAATTGAAGAGCGAAGATCTAACCCAGCTCCAGTTAGGTTTCCTTATATTCACTTACACGGAAATTCCCAAATATGAATCCATCTCTTTTCACCCCAGCTATGGGTTAATTAGTAGGATTTGTATCAATAAATCATCATCGCCAAAAAAATTTTTGCTATTTAAAAATATTTTATGGCCTTAAATAGCCTGCAAAAGGTCGATAAGCCGTGAAAGACAATAAAAAAAGGTTTATGTTTTTTTTTGTTTTTTGGTGGGGGTGGATTTGATGAAAAACATTTCGGATGATAAAATAAGGGATATATATATAAGACTAAGTCAAAGGAATGTTACACTATAAAAAGAGAAGTACAACAAAACAAATTATAGGCATATACAAGGTGCTACCCCCAAATTCGGGGAAATTGATGAAATCACACGAATCGATTTAATCTAGGATGCACTTTTGTGAGCAATATCCTTTGTAAAACTACATGAACTTTTTCCAGAAAAATGGCTGATATGGTCAAATTCTATGATCATTTAGCTAGTACATATTTTTAATATACACCCGCGGAGACAGACAAAAAAGTAAATAAATAAATAATAAAAATAAGTGCTGAGTTTATGGGAATAAAAACATGTAACATTTTTTCCTAACATTTTCTTCAATTGATAAGATTTGACAATCCAGTATGACTTGCAATAAACTTACCTAACAATTGAGCGAGTTTATTTTGCTGATGTGAACTCCAGAAGAGCCAATCTGTTTTCCAAACTTGTTGGCACAGAAACACACGCTTCCCAGACATTGAACGCTTTTGTAGTTGCCATTACTTTCACACATAAACATTTTACCCAGAAGTTGTTCTTTTTGGTAATCGGACTGGTCACGCGCGCAATCTGAAATAATTAGTAACAAGTAAATGAAAACTTTTTAGAGCACTCGCTGTGGCTAATTGATGATTATAGAAGCAGTAAGGTCAATCATGTTAGAATCACTCATTAAAATCGTTCGATGTTGAATGAAGGCAGCAAGTGTTTGAAGCATAAATATATGATGGTTAATTTGTTCGTAATTGTTAAGGGAATTTTCCAAAACAGATTCATTTATGGGGAATTATTTATCAAAACCGTTGCATTTTAATACATGCATACATTTAGCTACCTTACAATGTAATTTAAGTACGTTTCCGTTTTTATGAATATATGTATTTGCCAGCTGCAGAACAGGGTGATGTTTTCATAGGTTTGGTATCTCCATTATAATGTTTGTTTTGTCATCTTTACATGAATGCGTCATTTTTATGGTTCATGGGTTGCCAATTAATCGAACTGTGTACCGTGCTTTTAGCTGGGGTTTGGCAGAGTATTCATGCGGACATAATTTAATCAAGGCTATGGGAGGACATCGTAGTCAATAAAGTTCCGACATGTTTGAGTACTCTGAGTAATAAGAAACAAAAAGGAGTTTCAAAGAGAGTAACACCACAGAAAGAAGACGAGAACTACAAGAATGTAAATGAATGAAAGACAAAATCAAAACAGAAAGAAGGAAAATAACGGCAGAGAGCAATAATGGAAGAGAGGTCAAATTTGAAAAGAAAAGATGGAAATAAATACAGAAAAAGAAAACGCCACAGAAAATGTATAAAAAAGGAAACAAAATAGAAAGGAAAGGAAATATGTAAGGAAACGCTAGACAATGCCAAGGCTCAATGCAAATCTCAATTATAACTGCCATGGGGGAACTGAACGCCAAAGTAGGCAACGAGAGGAATGGTGAAATAGTTGGCAAATTCGGACTAGGAACCTGTAATGAACACGAAAAAAAGGGGGCCCAATTGTGTAAGGTAAATGATCAGGTAGTAGCCAATACCTGATTTCAAGAACACCCAAGACGAATATGGACATAAAGTAGTCCAGGAGGAGAAAGGAGTATTGCTGGCATATATGGTCTGGTGCACCTCCTGTTTACCTCGGAGTTCTTGACAAGATCCAGAGGCGGATATGTAATATAATTGGCCCTGATCTGGCATCTCGTCTACAGTTGCTTTCTCACAGACGCGCCGTCGCCTCTGTCTTTTTTTACAAATACTTTCATGGTAATTGCTCCGATGAGCTGCTTTCACTGGTTCCCAGACTTCATGAATTCAAGCACCCTACGAGGCTGGCATCTCGCTCTCACCCTTTCACTGTTGAAAATTTTAAATGTAGCCGTCTCTTCTACGCCAATAGCTTCATACCTCACACCTCTCGCCTGTGGAATACCCTTCCCAATTACTGTTTCCCTGAGAGCTATAATCTCCAAATATTCAAATGTAATGTCAATCGACATCTCTAGTTACCTTGATCTATCCACTATCTATCTCCTCATCCGTTCTTCTATCACTCCTATCTGCTCTCGCTCCAAATCTTCTGCACACCCCCTGCATCCTAGTGGCTTCACGCCTTGCTCGGGGCGTAATGCTTAAAAAACACATTTCGACTGTGGAAGCAATCACCTTCCATAAACTACAAAATTAAAAAAATGACTAATGCAGCACTCGAATTGCAATTCAACAGACTCTTGAACGACCCGAATCTAAAGAAGAGATCTATGGGAAGTGTAAAAGCAGATACGAGGGACAAAAAGGAAATGTAAACTCGAAATAGGAAACATTAAGAGATCATCCCAAAGGAAAATAGAAGAAAAAAAATGAACGGATGACAGCTGAAATTCTCGACATGATTAAAAAGGAGACAAAAAACAATGCCAAGACATGGAACAGAATATAGAGTACTACACAAAAAATAAAGAATAAGTGCAGGCAAGTTAAAGAGAAATGGCTCAACGAAAAAAACTGCAGAAATAAAAAGAATGCGTATCACATATAAAGCAGATATATATATATATATATATATATATATATATATATATATATATATATATACACACACATACATACATATACAAGAGGACAAAGGATATGCTCATGAATAGGATGCATAAAATCCACGCTAATATTAGAGCACGAAACTTCAGAGATGAAAAACGATTATATCGGAGAACTCTTTCGCGACGAAAGAACAGTTGGGCATACAAAGAAATGTCAACGGACCAGAGATATTAAGATCTGAAGAGGAATCTACACTGGCCAAATTGAACATAAACAAAGTGGCAAGGCCAGACGGAATTGTAATAATCATGCTAGAAGTCTTAGGCAACTTCGGCGTCGATAAGATTACAAAAATAATTAAAATTACAACAGTGATGATAGACCGGAAGTAGATGTATTTTCATAGAAGTCAGGTGCCGACGAATGTAAACTTCACCGGACAATCAGCCTAATGGGCCATATAACAATACTTATGCAAATTCTGATGAATACAGCGTGCAGCAAAATCAAACCGGAAATAGGACAGGAACAGTGCGAGTTTGTCAAAGACACTGGAACAAGGAACGTAATATTTATGCTTAGAATGTTATCAGAAACAGCAATACAAATGCAGAAGGTCGTGTACCTGTGTTTTATAGACTATGCAAAAACGTTCGATAAAGTATACCACAAAGATCTGTTGAACTGCTCAGCAACCTTGACATATTTGGGAAGGATATTAAAATAATCAGGAATCTATACTGGCAGAAAACCACCTGCATAAGATTAGAAAATGAGTTCAGCAGATATACAAAAATAGAAAGTGGTGTAAGACAATGATGTGTCTTCTCCTCGGACTTATTCAACTTATACAGCGAGGAGATTGAGAGAGAATTAAAAGTCCTACCAGGATTTATTATTGTCGCGCTACAATCTTATGATTTGCAGATGATACAGTGTTGATAGATACGCCAAGGGAGCTACAAAAACTCCAGAATGTAGTGAAGGAAAGCGAGAAAAAAATGATTAAATATCAACTGCAAGAAAACAGAATGCATGGTTGTAAGATGATCCCAAATCGGAGACATCAAAATCAAAACACGTACAAAAAATTTAAATATCTAGGAAGTATTTTAACAGAGGACGGAAAGTGCAACACAGAAATCCGAAGTCTTATTACGATAGCCAAAGATGCATTCCTAAAGAAAAGTGTATTAAACTGTTACGTGATATCTTTCTTCCTGTATTGCAGTGAGTGCTGGACAATCTCCTCAAAGATGAAGAAACGAAGCAACAGAAATGTGGTTCTACAGAAAGATACTGAGGATACCATGGACCGATTATGTGGGCAACGACGATAAAATGTAAACAAAAAGGAAACTTATACTTGACATCAGGAAGAAAGCTGGAATTTCGAGGGCTTATGATGAGGAAAGAAGCCTTGGAAAATCTGATACTCTCGGGACAGATGAAAACAAAGCATAACATACTTAGTGAGCTTGAGTAAATGGATGGCGGAAAAGTGTTTAGGAGAAATAAAGATCAATTTTATTAAGAAATTGTGAAGAACCACGATCGCCTACATCCTCATTGGGGACACGGCACATGAAGAATATACAAGAAACAAAATATCAAATTGCTCTTGAGTCAAAGGTCATTTGTTTTTCATTTAATCATCACGTTCAATTTCGCATTTTAATTGTTCATTTTTTTTTTTTTTCCATCGCTATTTTTTTTATTCGTCAAAATTAATAGAAAACGAGTAGAAGCAAGCAAGCAAATATTCGACGAGAACTTCAAAACCTTAGAAATAAATCGTGTGTACCAATAACCGGCAACTATGATGTTGTTTGGGCTGATTTTTGGAGAACAAATAATATTAATAACCAAGTAGAAAATATGTTTTTAGGCCTGAGATCAACAATCTACCAAATGATTGCAAAATAAAACCATTGATCTCAGGATCATTCAAGTCAACAATAATAAATGAATTCAAGCAAAGTAAGAACAGTTCAAGTAAACAGTAGACTAATCCGACTTACGCTCGTAAAATTCTAATATTTGTATAAAATTTAAAATTCCCAATTACGTTTGCGATATTTACTCTATCAATCGAGTAACTGATTGCGAGGCTATAAAAGACTCGTGTCATTCCATCACAAATTAACCAACGGCCACAGGGATCTCAAAAATCAAATCTATAATAGAAACTATTTTGGGCTTCATTTTTCTTCCAAGATTATTTTTTCGGGCGGTCTACAAAGGTTTTAATTCAACTAAGAAACTAAACCATGAACATTATAATAAGGATTGCACTAGATTATTTTCATTTTAAATACATCGAGTCAAAAAGTGAACACTTGGAAGCTGTATTAGACATCAATTTTTAAATGAGAATCTCAAATTGGACAGCGTCTTTTGATATTTCGGCCATATTCACGCTCTTTGGAAAATAAAAGTATACAAGAAACATCCAAGGTGTTTATATTTTTGTAACCTAGTGTAAATATTAACTATTTTCACTAAATTTAAAATCTGTACATGCAATATCCTTGCAACTATGAATGTCGAAAGTTTTATTTCGTAAAACGCAAAAAATGCATCGACATTTGAAGATTCTCTGATTTTAAAACTATTGAAAGATACTGATCATCTGGGATTTCCCAATACATTTGACGAAGAAACTTCATTTTCCCCAGATATTTCTAAGAGGCTCACCTGTGGCCGTTGGTTGATTCGTGACAATAACAATTTATGAACCCCGATTAACATGCTTAAACCGATTCTTGTGACAGATAAGAACAAGATCTAGCGAAATTTTTAAAAGGTGTTTCCAATGAGTATTTATCCCGGCCAAAAATATCACCTCTAAATAAGTTTTCTTGAAATGATACTTTGTCTAAAAGAAAGGAAAATAAATGAATACTTACTGCAATTCATGTCATTGTCATGAATACGCCCTTGAAATCCGTTGATTTCTTCCCCATCTTTCGTTACGCATTTACATCTGATGGAATAGAAAATATCATCAATTCAAATGAGTGGCGAATCAACGTTTGATACTTATTAGATAATATTTAGCAAAATCGAACAAGTAATTATGAGGGCGTATTTTGCTAAAAAATGACAAAAGTACTATTATTCAACGGTTTCTTTTTACACGTGCAAAAGGGCAGCCGTGAATTCATTTCGTCGAAAGAATGTTCGACATAGAAAAAAAAAAAAAAAAAAAAAATGAAAGAAACGACTAAGCGAACGAAACAATGAAGTCGAGAAAAAAAAATCAAAAATGGCGAAATCTAAAGTAGTATTGATGAAGAAAAGCTTTCGAATCGCTCTCATCTCAATACTGAAGAAAACCTGCGTCGAATCAATATTGATTAATTTCGATTCTCAGATGAGATTGTTACCAGTGATTTTTTTTTTCAGATGCGAAAACTCAGATTTGTTATTTATATCACAACTTTACGTATTCGGAAATCAAAAGGGTATCTTGTTCGCATCTCTTTCTTTTAATTCAAAACATTCTTGACCAATCATTTGTCTAACGATCAGCAGGTGCTGTCAGTAGTTTATATTTATTTGGAGGGCCGTTTAAATTAGTAGTAATTCCCCTAATAAAATCCCATGTAATACAATAAATATGAAATTTAAATAGAATAAAATAATGATTTATATATATATATATATATATATATATATATATATATATATATATATATGAGAGAGAGAAATTACATATAGTAATAAAAAGAGGTGATGGCTGAACTTTCGTGTAGTTTTGGCTGGTGGAAAAAGGGATAGGCGATTGAAGAAAGGAGTTGCCGGTAACTGAAAATGAAATATTGTCGAAAGATAAAGCTGTCGAAAATTTAGTTATTGACCCCTGTTTATATTAATTTTAAGAGGCTCAAAGTTTTGGGATTATCAACACCACAATAAAATGCTCGTGTCATGTGGTATGTTCTAAGATTATATAATAAAAATGGATTCAATGAAACTAATTTTGTAACTTTCAAAGGATCGTGTTTTTTTGTGTGCATATATATATATATATATATATATATATATATATATATATATATATATATATATATATGGAAACGGATGTCTTAAGGCCAGTTTTTTTTTTTTTTTTTTTTTTTTACACGTTGTTTCTTAGGAACCAACTAATAGAAATACTTATAAATCGTTTCGATGAAAACTGAAGATATGAATCTAAATAATCGATAATCCTAAAATAGTAATTTGTATTGTCGAACCCTTCATGTTTACAACATGTCTTTGTTGACAGGACTTTTTAAAGCTGTATGCAACCTGTTAAGACATTATAAAGCATTTTCCCCCAATTAAAAGGTGATTATTTCTCGCGGAAAATTCAGCAGTGATATATAAAATACCAGACCCGCTTGTTTTTTTTAAAGGTGAGAAATAATCATGGACCCTCATCTCTCAAAAATCGAATAACTTCAGGTATTATTGAATTAGTCACTTGTTTCTGGCTTTAAAGAAACAAATTTTCGGCAAGTCATACGTGCTTGAACCTTTATTTAATGAGGTAAAAGTTTTGCAGTCGTAACGTTTTGTTTCTTTGCATTGATAAAATTCTAGTTGTAGTTTCTATTATATAATTGCTTTACAAGTCTGAAATGAAAACGCGATTTTTCCTCATTTCCCTTGCCCTCGTTTCTTCGAATGATTTAGTCTTTTGATCAAGTGACGCTTCTTATAAAAATGAATTAAATTCATGCCAAAAATGACAGAAGTTGACCAATTTTCCTAGAGTAACTTTTATCTTTTTAATCTCGGACGCCATCTTCTCATTGGCTATTCAATGCACGTAGATATTTACTTGACCTCCCCCCCACCGAGTTGTGACACGAGGTCGGTTTTTAACGTGGAAATCCGAATGTTTTCACTCGGGCCGCTGGTCCAAGCTGGTCGTCGGTCTTGGCTTGTCATAGCTGGTCCAGACCCGAGCCGGTCCAAGTTAGTCGTAGCCGTGATACTACCAGCGCAGAGACGAATCCCTACAGCATATAAGTATCAATGCACGTAACCTTGTATTAAACTTGGTATGGTTCAATGAATACTTAATCTAAGTAATATTTAATTTAAAGCATTTTATAACATCTGAATTCTCATTACTTACAGACACAAACACGTTTCTTTAATACTGTATTACATATTTATCATAAAATGAACTAATGTTCTTAAGCAATCTATTTTCTTAATCTTTACTGTTATTTCTTTGCGGTAAAATTGGGTGATTAACTTATTGGAATTTTCTTCTTCGTGAAATACATCAATAACTCATTTCGGTATTTATTACGCTTCATACGGCATTAGACCAAATAGAGAGGCACGAGGAGGTGGTGGTCGATTTCGCCAAGAATTTTATGTAGAATTTTTACTTTTACACCCAGTGGGTAAAACCTATGTGTCTCAGCCACATATTGGGAATACATTTATTCCCGGAAGTTGTTTGTATTGACGGGTGTGCGGTCAGTGTGAATCGATATCAGCAGGAAATGTAGAGTTGGGAAGCCGTTGCATTTTCTTTCGCAATAATTATCCTCGGAAGGGCATAGATCGCTTGTTCTCGCACCATTAATTGATTAAATATTAGGGTAGACTGGTCTCTCTAGCTTGGGATGGCAACCAGTTGCAAGGAAAACTGAATTCAAACCGTGAAACATGCTCTATTTTTACCCGATAATGCACGGCAATTCAGATAAAATAATTTGAGAGTCATGCTCGCCTACGTCTTGAGGAGAATGTGATTAAAAAAATACGTATATTTGAAGGTATTATCAGTAGAATCTTTAACGTGTTGCTTTTTTTATCACAAGAGACTAATATAGAGCTTTTACTGACATTACATATTTCCTAAGAGAGACAACGTTTATTCTTTCATTTAATGTAATCTGAAAATCTTGCTCTGTTGAATAGCCATTATTCAATTCTTTAGGCAAATGATAAACAGTGATTATAGTTATAAGAAATGATTATCAAAATATCTCTTGCCGGTTCTTTGTTGATACACAGCAGGAATTTACACATGTAAGTTTTGGAACTAACTTTCCGAAAGTCTAAACTTAACATGAAATTGGCTAATACTATTGCACTTTTGTATTTACATTTAAAAAAAACTTTATGAATGAAAAAATTTTTTATCGCCAGAGATTTTATCGTAACTCAAATTTTTTTTCATTTATGATAAGGTGTGTTTTTTTTAATGTAAAACAAAAGTGCAATAGTATTAGCCAATTTCATGTTAAGTTTAGACTTTCGGAAAGTTAGTTCCAAACTTACATGTGTAAATTCCTGCTGTGTATCAACAAAGAACCGGCAAAAGAGATATGTTGTTAATCATTTCTTATAACTATAATCATTGCTAGTTTATATTCTCCTTGTTCTATTACAAAATCAAGCGTATTTGGGGCCCAAATAATACTCATTGTTTATTGTATTTTCCATATTTGTTTAAACCACTACCACCACACAGATTTTCCGTCCACGGACAACTTAATATCTCATGCAACTTTCGGCATTTCACCTGATATATATATATATTTTTTTTAAGCATTGTGCCCCAAGCAAGGCGTGAAGCCACTAGGATGCAGGGGGTTGCGGAAGATTTGGAGCGAGAGCAGATAAGAGTGATAGGAGAAAGGAAGAGGAGAAGGATAGTGGGTAGATCAAGGTAATTGGAGATGTCGATTGACATTACATTTGAATAGTTGGAGATTATAGCTTTCAGGGAAACAGTAATTGGGGAGGGTGTCCCACTGGCGAGAGGTGCGAGGTATGAAGCTATTGGAGTAGAAGAGACGGCTACATTTGAAGGTTTCTACGGTGTAAGGGTGAGAGCGGGATGCCAGCCTCGTAGGGCGCTTTGAATTCATGGAGTCTGGGAACCAGAGAGAGCAGCTCATCAGAGCAGTTACCATGGAAGTATTTGTAGAAAAGACAGAGAGAGGCGACGGCGCGTCTGTGAGAGAGTGACTGCAAACAAGACGCTAGATCAGGGCCAATTAGATTACATATCCTTCTCTGGATCTTGTCAAGAACTCCGAGGTAAGCAGAAGGTGCTCCAGCCCATATATGGCAGCAATACTCCATGCAAGGGCGAATGGTTGTTTTGTATATTTATAAAGAGTTTTCTTGCTGATATTAAGTTATGGAAGATTTAGTTTCACAGATAATGTCATGAAACGGTTAGAATGACGTAAAATGTAAAAATGGATAAAAATCACTTTCGAAAAGATGCGGAACGAATGGTTTATGAATTTCTTTTTAGTGGACCAATAACAACGGATAGAAATTAGCTGAGAGAAAGGGGGGGGGAAAAAAAAAGAAAGAAGTGAAAGGGACTTACACTGATCCCCTGCACTGGACAGGAGCATAAGATCCATCAGCACTGCATCTGGGGAGAAAAGCTCCGGGGAGCATTTTCAACATTGCTTTGGACCTTTCTTCATTACATTTATCCACGAAAAGATTCAGAGGTTCTTGAGTGGGAAAAAAAACAACAAAAAAAAACGTAAGAAATGTTTAAAAAGAAAAATGAATAAAAATAAAGAACATTAGCAAAAGTTAAGAAAAATAAACAAAACGTGAAATAAATATATTCTGTTTTCAGTATTCAATAAAAATAGTAGAAATAAAATGTAGGCAAATAAATAAATAAATAAATAACAGGATTGAAAACAAAATGAAACGAAGGAAGAGAAAAAGAGAAAGAAAAATGAATAAAAACAGAATTAGACAAAAATGAAAAGCAAGAAAAACTGAAGAAAGCGAATGAGAGACAGAGATTAAAGTGGGAAAAAAAAGAACAATTCAAGTAAAAAGTAATAAATGAACGTTAGAAGAAAAAGATGAGAATCGTCAAGAAAAGAAAATTGAAATAAATCGAAACATTTGAAACGTTAAAAGCAACTTTAAGAGAAAGAATGAATAAAAGATGCAAGAACAGAAAAATATAAGCAATAGAAAATACTTTAAGTTTTAATATAAAGTAAAAAATCGAAAAGCTAAAATCAGGCCCTGCCAATTAAAGAAGTGGACTGTGAAGAGATGAAGGAGGAAAAAGCAATGTTTATTTATAACATCGTCACCTTTTAAAGACAGATTGATGTAAAAAAAAAAAAAATCTAACACCTGCCAACACCCAAACACATATTTCGTTACTGCACAACATTTCCTCCAAGCAATATTTACTGTGCGCATATTTAGAAATAAAGTTTACTATATGATTTACAAGACAAACCAAAATTTTATCCTACCGTAAGCTACTCAAATATACCTAATTATATACACGTAATAAATAAATAATAACCTGTATATATGAAAGAGACACTAGATTTTAGAACTTAATCCAGTCATTTTTTTTTTCATTTTGAAAGGATAGAAGGGCAAAATTTCATGACAAAATTCTGTCTGACATTCGTTTATACAAGCGTAGATAGCAACACCCGTTAGTAGAATAACGAATCTCCAACTGGTGATTTTGTTTTTTGTTTAAGAAATATTTTCTCTCTCTTCCTGGTTTTATATAAGCTTATTGAAGAAAAGACTTTAGGATACGGGAATCTTAAAGCTTAAAAGTAAAATCTTATTTTTTATGCTTTTTTTTAAATTTTATTTTACTGCCATGAAAGCCATAAGTTGTTCACGTAGGGAACTAACAATAAGCAAACATTGTAAAATGAAAAAGAAAAGAAAAGTGAAACAAAACTAATTTAAAAATACTTACTGATACATGTCATCGTATGTTTACTACAAACCAGGTTAAATCCACATTCTGAATGCGGGGGAAGACCTAAAAATGGATAGGGATTGCATACCTCTCCTTCACCTGTAATTAGTGGTCGTCAAGGCGGCAAGGTTTGGAAAAAAAAAAAAAAAAAAAAAAAAAAAAAGAAAGAAAGAAAAAAATTAAAATTTAAGATCGAACAAGCACCTCGATGAGATAGTAAAAACAAAGTCTTATTGGATCAATAATTTCGGGCATGAAAATTCGTTTCTATACAAATTCCAGCTAAAAATTTATTTAGTCTGATTTTTTTTTTTTTTTTTAAAACAAAAGTCAAGTTTCAACTCTTTGTTTTTAATTCTTCCACCTGAAATTGTTTTTTGGATTTTGATCGTTCTTCATTGAAGTACACCATTTCCAACTTTTGAATATTCTTTGTTTATATCCTGTTGGCTATTCTTTAAATACTTTCATCGGTCAGAATTGTTTTATCACATCGACTATCGCATCAGCTCACCACATTTCAAGTCTACACACAATATTTATGCCACTCAGCTACACAGACTGGCAAGCGAAATATTAGATCAGCTGTTATAGAACAAGAGCTAATGGCTCCTCATTGCACGATTGTATAACAATCTGATTACAAGCCTAACATGGCTTACTCAAATATTTAATAGTTTTCTAACTTTGTCTATATCTGAATTTGCCACTAAGTATGCGATTACTTGTGTATATTGAAGGTTTGGCTTTTAGCGCATGAAAGAAAATGCATACACGTATATGTGAGGGAAATATAAAATGTGGTAGTTTACTGAAATTTGCTGATATCAAATGAAGGAATTGTTGTAAGTTTTTCTATACGTACAAGTCAGTGTTTGAAATATTAATTTTTATAAACATTTTATATGAAAAATTGTATGTAGCTGCATACATATTTGGAAATTGTTCCAGATTGTGAAAGAGTCTAAAACTTCGAAATATTTATCTCATATAAAATGCGCGCACACAAACACACAAATATCTGACACCATTACTCAGTGTGAAATCGGTGCGAGATGTGAGTAACACTTTTTGTTTACCACGATTCTTAAGTTCCGTATAACACTTAAGTATTTTCGATCACACTGCATCGACCTTTTATATTCCGGAACTTACTAGTCTGCTTATTTTCCTTACAGCTATTTTATTCGGAGGGAAAAAAAAAAGAAAAGAACCTTTCACTCTATATCAACGCACTTGATCCAGACACGAATCATTGGTTTGGCATCGAATATTTTTTCTTACTATTTTTTTTTTTTTTGTGCATTTATAAAATCACTTTTCCTTATAGACGAGAATCGAATCGCCATTTCTTGTGAAGTACAAACAATTTAGTTGAATCAGCGTGAATATGTCAATGGTTATGTGTTACACTTATAGTTTCATATATCCAAGATACGCATTTTCTGTAAATACACCGTTACATAACCCCACCTCTGTCTCTCTCACACGCACATACACACCCACACACAAGTGCCGAAAAAATTCCGGTCCTACTAAGGAATCCCAAAGGGCACCTCGGCGTGGTGTAATGGTTAGCAAGCTTGTCAGCAAGCAGCTAGAATAGTTACGACTGAGTAGTGAGTTCGATCCTCACTGGGTGCCCCATACTTTCGGCCTTGTACCACATCTAAGCTACGCTTGGAAAATCACTACTAAGGAATCCCAAACATTTTTGATGCTTGATCATTTGGGAAATTGGTCGAGCCGAGACCTTTTTAACATACGCCCTCCATACTATATGCATGCCGTTAAAACTATACCAACTTTTACGATATTTACCTATTTATTTAACTCACCCGTTTTATTTTTCATCTATGTAAAATACACCACATGCATGACCGTTGGATGAAACACCTGAAGCAATTAAGGTCAAAAAAAGAAATGTTCATATATGAACAATCTATCCCGAATTATATAAGCATATTGACCGAAAATAAGACTGCAATATTCTGAGGGACGTTTCCGATTTTGAACAGTGTTCAATATGCGCATGCTACATTATTTACATTATTCGGACTATTGTCCTCATCTTTGTCGCCATATTTATCACAACGTTTCGGCCGTTGTACGCTCCGGCCTTCTTCAGGTGGTTGGAATTTCGAACTGAACCCTTTATTTCGCTCACTGGGGTAGACTGTTCTACTTCCACGTGCCATGTTTGATGGATGTCAATTATCAGTTATCTCCTGTTAATTTTCCTCTGAAAGTTCTCTACTGCCTTAACCGGGTATTGAACTCACACTCTTTAGGTCCTGTCACTGGATCTAACCAACGCCTTTATCCACTGTGCCATGTGTCCTTGAGCATGCTAGTGGCTAAGAGATGTTTCAATTGAAAATTTTCAGCCTTCACCCATCTTATGACGTAGTAACACTCATATCAGTGAACAGTCTTTGTAGCGAAAGGTTTTAGTGAGCTCAAAGTGTCCAATATAAGCAAGTGTAATGCTATGGAGATTCACAGCCGCTTCTTTTGGATTATTGGCATTCAACAAGCTAGATAGTCATTTCGGAGAATTTCTGTGAATATTGTAACACATAAGCAATTCTCAAATGGCGGTAAGTTTTTAGCACCCCATAATTTAATGGAGTTTATTCAATAAAAATGGATTCGATTGGCATATTAAAGGTTCATTTCTTTTTCTCTCCACATATTTTCCATCTACAAAATTTTGTCTCGCGCATTGAAATAATGAGATCTGAGAATGGATCAGCTTGAAGGTTAGTAATCACAAATGTGCGAAGAAATTTAAAATATTAACGAGCCATCTGAGATTATAGTCAATACATTTGACTGTTTCAACCATTATCTCCCACAATTATAGCCTTACTCTTTTTAAATCTTGTTCGTTTCTGCTAACCAACGACTATTCAATTAGAAGTGACGGAAACTTTATTATCTTAAAAAGGCAATCGTTTATAAAAATTAAAATATTTTATTTGATTAATTCTCAAGATGTCAAATTGAATTCAAAACAATTCCTGCAATTTCTTCAAAGCAGCAAAGAAAACAACCGTAAAAATATGTTTAGATTAGAATAAATGAGTTATCAATATTTTCTTCGTTCAAGAGAGGAAGTGTCGAGAATTTTGGAACGGCTGCTATAATCCCACTTTAAATTCCACCTCGTGTCATTCCGTGTCTGTGGATGCATAGATAGATTCCTAATAAATGAGTTCTCATTTCAGTTTATCTTTGTACTTATCAGATCTCGACCTTTCTATCTATAAACAATTGTATTCACGAGTGTATGTGCATTTGAGAAGCCATTGAATATATCTGTCATATTAAAACGACTTTAAGTGCATACGAACCGGGATATCGTCCCATTTTCTAGCCCTTAAATTATAATTAAAATGTACTTTGACCGAATTAATAAAGTTTTAAGATTTATATGTTTCAAGAAATGTTAAGCAATTCATAAAAAAAAAGTGTCATTATTATATGAAATATCAAAATAACTGTATAAAAAAATATAGTTATTTTGATAATACTCAATATAATAATTTATAAACTGCTTAATATTTCTAGAAATAATTAAATCTTAAAATCTTTTATTAATTTGGTCAAAACACATTTTAATTAGAATTTAATGAGAAAATTCAACAACAATGCCCCGACTCAGATAAATTTAACAAGTATAGCATTTGTTGAACAAGAATTTTGCACACGAAAGCACTTCATATCATTTTCGCTAACGTGTGCGATATGCATGCGAGTCAATACTGTTACCAATCCTCATACTGTATTTAGTAATACTGAAGTAGATTTTTCCTTGAAATGATGAAAATACTTCGGCATTCCAGAATGGATTAAACCTTGGATATAAAAGAATTAGATAGAAAATTGATGTTTTATAAAAATGTTTATAGACTAACTCAAGAACTCTCTCTCGAGATCATATATATATATATATATATATATATATATATATATATATATAACCCGGATATAAGAGAGTTGTCGGGACCGGAGAAGAAGTCTCTTATATCCGGGTTTGGTCTATTATATATACATTAACACAGGCTCTAATTTGGGACCAGAGAAAATCTTATATCCGGGTGTCTTTATATATATATATATATATATGATTAGAATATATATATGGTTAGAATGGAAACATTTAAAGAAGCGTCTATAAGTTCGTGAAAAGGCCTAAGGGGATAATAACATTTTATTTGCTTAGCTTCCCAAACCTGCCAGTACAGTTGCATTTTTAGAACCCAGAAAAACAAAAAATAACCACCACGAAACAATGCGCTTGCGCACCTATTTAAAACGTTTGGGAAAAATAAATGGAAATTCTTGCACATATAAATGTCCAGACCCGCACAGAACATACTAAAAAATCGAAACAAATATATATGTTCATGCATATTTGTATGTATGCAAATAGATATACACACAAAATGGTTATACCTATGCAGATACACAAACAAATGCACAAAGTCATAATATATACATATAAAATGTCTCCTCAAACCACTATAAGACACTTATATGCACAATTATGAATAGGTATTTAAAATTTTCCTCGTAAATAATCCTATCAATGTGATTACACTCTCACAAATAAACAACTAAATAAACCATAAATACAAAATAAACCTTTTAAGCGAGGGTCTTGTATTCGGTAATATACATCAATACGTTCAAAGAAAGAAAATCTATGGTTAAAGGCATGTAATCATATGCAGAAATAAACAGATGAAGATATGAACCAGGCCCATTCACATTGGACTTCTCTAGCTCTTTTTCTTAATTCTCGATATCCTATTAAGTCTATCTCTTCGAAACGTAACAAGAATATCGAAAAATTCGGTCACAAAGTTTGAAGCAGATAAGAATTTTTCCCGGCGTATCTTACAAAGCGACCATGTGTGCATCTCAACCTCTCTCTGCATCTTTCTCTATCTCTGCATCTCTCTCTCTCTCTGCATCTCTCTGAGAGTCAACCTCTAAAGTGTTCACTCGTTCCCAAACATGAAAAACTGCCTGTCAACCCAGATCTTTTCTTGTACGTCGCTGTCTAACTGCTCCCTCCACCTCTAACGTTT